TGAAGGGTGGGTGGAATGGCTCCCTCCATCCTCAAAGACCCCCCCCCCCCCCAGCATGGACTTTTCACCTCCCTAGCCTCTGGCCAGAGGTTCAGAAGTGTGAAATGTAGGACTGCTAGATTGAAAAACTCTTTCTTTCCCTCTGCCATCAGACTCCTAAACTGCTGAGGAGTTTATTACCAGGAAATATTTCATGTACTGTTTACATTCTCAGTTTGCACATGCATAGTTGCACAATGACTGTTGACTGCTGCCCATGCTGCTCCTATGCAGCATACATTGTTATATTCTTGTATATTTTTATTATATTGCTGCATTTGCTGCTTAAAGTGCCTTAGATTTTGTGTTACCTATTTATCTACTTTATATTTCACTTGTATTTTTGTGGCATTCATGTGGACAGCAAAGTAAGAATTTCATTGTACAGGGAAACACGTTTCCTAACTGTGCATGACAATAAACACTTTGACCTCATTAATAAAACAACATCTGAGGTTTAGGACTCAAATGCAGACACCAACCAGTGATGATGGCGGTTAAAGTTAAACAGATTATTAAAACAAAATGGGAAAGACAGCGGCTTACTTTGAGGCCAGGCAGGCAAAACAGAACAGAGACAGAGTTAGTCTAATGCGGGGTAAAAGACATGTAAACAGTCCAGATAAATATTAAGTCCAAGGGGGTGGACAAGAGGCAGAGTCCATGGGAAACCGACTAAACATGAGGATAACACAAAATAACAGCCAAAAAAAAAACCAAACACATAGAGCTTCTGTAGATAGTGAGGCACACTGAGAGCATGAGCTACAGACAAGCGCATCAGATAATCTGGCAACTAAACACAGGAAACAGATGACGATTTATACAGAGGAGGCTGATGACTGAAGTGGCTGCAGGTGTGGGGTGAGAGAGTCAGGACACCGCTGTAGTGACGATCTCAATACGTGGAGGCAGGATGTCAATCAATAGTCTTTAGAAAAGTACAGAACATTAAAAGGCAGGGAAAACATGGGTCAGACAAGAACAGGACTGAGAGTGTGACAGTGTCAAAACATTTACTATACATGTTGTGGAGGGGGCGGTTTATAAAGCTGAAACATGCCTGCTACTTCAACAGAAATGTTTTCATATACTGGTACAAAGACCCAAAGACAAACCGCCTGCGTTACATGAAAAGCTATTAGCAGTCTCTCTCTACAAGCTCAGCACCATGGAGAACTCCAAATGAGTGTCTTTCTTTTATTTTATTTATTTATTTTGTCCAGCATTGTTCGGCCGTCACCCAGCCCAGTTTTACAGGTGAGGCTGAGATGCAACTCTAAGTTTTTGCAGTTCCACGTTTAACTATTTGCACCATATACTGCGCCACAAATTGGCTCAGGGACAGTGTCAGGCACTCTCTTGCCAGGCATATAGGTGGAAATGGAGTCTGGACCACCAGCAATAAAACAAATGCATGAATATGTGTGGTAAAGGTGTTGAATTGAATGCAAGGTGCAGTGGAAAAGACAGATTGTCACTAGCCTTCACAGACTTTGGAGTCCAGATGAGTGAGGTCCACCAGTGCCCTCCCCAATCGGCTAGTTGTCCTGAACCTGACCAGGAGAGCACTCTAGAATAATCTGACCTAATCTAAGCAAAAGTCCGAGTTATTCTGCTAATGATCTGCTCCATTACAGCTTCTACTCTGAGGTGACATTGCCTTGTCAACAGATGTTTCTCAAGTAAAAAATTAACTTTGAAATTTAAAAAAAGTGGTGCCGCATATACATTACTCATAAACTACAGCCATGCAACACTACACCTGCAGCAATGTGACAAAAGCCAGTCCTTTAATGAGGGTCCAAAACAGAAAAGCTTCCACAAGAGATGAGTGACATTTTAGAGAATCTTCTTGGTTGTCTTCTCTACTTTATTTCTCAAGCAGGATGCTTTTGTAGGTTTGGTCCTGATGCCCAGAAGATGCATCCTGAAGTCAGTGTCCACAGGTGGAAGACTGTAACGTGCTATTCATATAACAATCATGTGATTTATAATTTTGTATTTTTAACTGTGGGCGAAGCATTTTGAGACTGAAACAAGCAAGATGATACTAAACATGAAATCTGTGCTGTCAACGATGAAGAATGAGTGAAAAAGTACAGGCAAATACATGCACACATACTGTACTGTCTGAAGACAAAATCCTAAAGATAAATATATTTAGGATTTCATAGCTTTTCCTGTTCACTCATCTCCCTTTCAGTCTTTTAATTAGCTGATTCAATAGCTTAACAGAGGCAAACTACTGATCAAATCTAGAGTGACTTTTTATTTTCAAATATCAAAAAGATGCCAACATGTTGACAGTGCTTGGAATTTATCAAGCAAACACAATGCATTTTGACCTTGCAGCATTAGGCTCTTCAAATATTACATTTCTCGGTCTCACTGAAAATGTAGCTTTTAATATTACTATCTTGCAGAGATCCACACCGACAATTAACTGAGTACAGCTCCATTAATATCAGCTCATTTTAAGTTTTTTATTTGTTGACTATATGTTATTTCCTTGTGGGTACACAGCAAAAATTATACATAAAATTTGTTGGATATTTTTACTCTACAGCAGAAAATAAATCTATTATACAACTGGTTGGCATTAAGATGCAAGTGTAACCACTTTTAGCCATTTACACTGCAATATTTGGATTGCAGTATTAACATTTTTTAAGACACATTAAATTGACTACACTTTAAAAATACATTTTAAAGTGTGTTAGTTTCAACCACAAGTATTAATCACACTTCAATTTTATTTATAGATTTTTTTTTCCTGGAGCAGTACATTTGCTTAGTTTGGAGGGGTGGGGTTCACACTAATATGGGCTTCAGATCATTTCAAACAACCAAAGTACTGCAAGATAGGAGTAGCTGTGACAAGCTAGAAGGCTAAAAAGAAAAATACTTTTAAACTTTAACATCAGATTAATATAAACCACCATTGTGACTAAAATTTAAAAAAAAAAAATAGCATCACATTCCGAGGACAGAGGAGCATCACTGCTTCATGTCTTGATAGACATACCTGTCGTCGGTCCAGTGCTATAGCAGTCAGTGTGAGCGTGGAGACGTGCAGGGAGCAGTACTGTACAAAGCGGCTGATATGACACATCGTCTTCCCAAATACCCAAGTGCTGTTCACGAAGCGGACCTAAAGGGAGCGCATACACAATTCAGGCCATATGTGGGTGTCAAATTTACATCCTTATAGAAATTAATTTCTTTCGGGGGGGGGGCAAAAACATTTTGACACAAATGATCAAGCATGAAGTCTTCCGTCTCTAAATATTCAGATTGATTCAGAATATAAAGAAAAAAAACTCTTCTACTGTATGATGGCGCTAATAACAATCTCAGAGATTTTTATAAAGAAAGTAATGTCTTATTTTTCAATCCTGGTCCTGGAGGTAGGCTGTCCAATATCATCAGAAATAGTTGTACTTCAGGCATGTGATGCTTCTTTAATTTGTAATCTAACTCACCTGTAGCAACCAACAAGTGCTGGCAATACAGAAATCACACTTGCGACCAGTTACAATGGAGAAAAGTTGACTCAACCTTTGTGTCATGTGGACCACACTGAGCATGGAGAAAAGAAAGAAGAGCAAAGAATGATCTGAGGATTTGAAAACCACAATAGTGGAAAATCATGGACAGTCTCAAGGCTGCAAGTCCATCTACAGAGAGCTGTCTGTTCCTGTGTTCACTGTGCACAACATTGTCAAGACATTTACAGCCCATGGCGCTGTAGCTAATCTCCCTGGATGTGGATGAAAGAGAAAGATTGATGACAGATTGCAACAAAGGATTGTTTGAATGGTGGATAAAGAACCTCAATCAACTTCCAAACAAATTCAAGTTGACCTGCAGAAACAGGGTGCAACAGTGTCAGCTCGCACTATCATCACCATCTGAATGAGAAGGGAAACTATGGTGACCCAGAGGGACCCCACTGCTGACACAGAAACATAAAAAAACAGATTGGAGTTTGCTGAAACCTACCTGAAGAAGCCACAATCCTTCTGGGAGAATGTCCTGTGGACTAATGAGACTAAAATAGAGCTTTTTGGTCGAGCACATCATTCTGTTTTCAGAAAAACAAAATGAGGCCTTTAAAGAAAAGAACACGTCCCTCAGTCAAACATGGTGGAGGTTTGCTGATGTTTTGGGGTTGTTTTGCTGCTTCAGGCACTGGATGTCTTGACTGTGTGTATGGCATTATGAAGTCTGACAACTACCAATGAATTCTGGAGCACAATGTAGGACCCAGTGTCAGAAAGTTGGGTCTCCGTCAGAGGTCGTGGGGATTACAGCAAAACAATGACCAAAAGCAGACTTCAGAACCACCCAGAAATGGTTTCAGACAATATGCTGGAGATTCTGAAGTGGCCAGTAGCAAGTCCAGACCCAAATCTCATAGAGCACCTGTGGAGAGGTCTCAAGGAACCCTTCAAATCCGAGAGACCTGGAGCAGTTGGCAAAAGAAGAGTGGTCCATAATTCCAGGAGAGAGGTGAAAGAAACTCAGATGATTACAGGAAGTAATTGATTTGTTATTCTGTCCAAAAGATGTGCTACCAAATATTAAGTTCAGGGTGTAAATAATTCTGTCCAGTCCATTTCTGGAGTTCTGTGTGCAACATGAGAATACCAAAGAATCTGTGATTTGAAACAATTTTCTGGGAGAAGTGGTGCGTTATCTGACAGAAATGCAGGGGTGCCAATATCTTAGGCCATGACAGTATGTGTAAGTGAACACAAAAAACGCACACAATAAAACGTAGTTACATTTCTAACATCATCAGTCGTGACAGAACCTTACCAGAGTGAAGGGTGTATTGAGGACGGTGATGAAGATATCGGCCACAGCGAGGTTCATGATAAACAAACTGGTGGCGGACTGGGTGCGCTTGTTTTTCACCACCACATGGCACACCAGGGTGTTCCCGAACAGGGAGATCACGATGATCAAAGAGTACGCGGCCACCAGCAGCGCCTTCACGCTCCCGTCCTGCCACTCCACTCCACGGCGCTTCTTAGAAGCCAGAGAGCGCCAGTCCTCCAGCATCCCCTCGTCAAAGTCCAGGAAGAAGATGCCCGAAGTCCGGTTGCCCAACTGTCCCGAAACGTTCATCAAACGCTCCGCGTAAGAAAACATCCCTTGTGCCAGAAGTGAGGAGTCGTTAAGTGTCTCTCCTACACCTGTGCAAAGGACCATAGATAACCAAACACACACAGTCCACATGTTGTCAGCTTCTTTTCCCTCGTTCTTTGTGTAATCTGATAATTTGTGCACCTGCTGCGCGCACCTGCTCCGTCTCGTGCGTGCTGAAGTGATGCGGAGATGCTGAAGCAACAGGTTGATGCGACTTGATTCAGCGCTGCTGTTTTTAAACCCTCGTGTAGCCAATGTGTGTGCGCATGAAAATCAGAGAGAGGGAGGGAGGGAGGGACCTCAGTGTGGCAGCATATAAATCCCTCTCACACACGTTGTGTTTTCATAACTTCAGGGGCCATTACATTGACCCGCAGTCGGTACGGAAAGTTATCAGACCCTTACAAGTTCTCCACATTTTGTTGTGCTGCAGACTCGTTTTAAAATAGATTGTTCATATTTTTCTCATCAATATACACATTATACTCCACAATGATAAAGTGAAAATAGGTCTTGGAGCTCCTGGGCACTTTCAATGCTGCAGAAATGTTCTTGTGCCATAACAAAGGGTCTAAATACTTATGTAAATTAGATATTTCAGTCTTTTATTTTTAATACATTTGCAAAACTCCAAAACTCACTTTATCATTGTCGAGTATTGTGCGTAGAGTGCATAGACGGTCTTAATACTTTCTGTACCAACTGTACATTTCCCGGAGGCTTAACCATAACCATAGTTACTCGCTACCTAACCCTAATGTCACCCTAACCTTAAAGCAAGTCATCACTCTAAATTTTAATGGTTTCGGTTTTTGGGGACTTGCTTTTTGCCCCCATAAAGACATCATATCCAAACAGGGTGACTGAGTAGACAGATTTACATCCCCACAACATGACTAATACCAGGTCACACACATGCACCCTCTTTCTCTCTGTCCCTGCCTTTCCAGTCTTTGCTTTTATTGGCTTGCAACAATAACACTTCAGGAGAAGCTTCCCAGCGTTCAGTGAGCTGAGGCAAGGACAGAAATTGAAATTAAATCTCCAGTGAACAGCCACCCATCCTTTTCCTGATTTGCACTTCTAACACTAAATCTGGCTCAGTCTAACGTGCAGGGCACAGAGAGATGGATAGATAGAGTACTTTATTAATTCTCACAGGAAAAATGCTCTTGTTATAACACTCACTAAACAGATTCACAGAAACAACAAGCAGAGGTTGGCAGGATTCCTATACAATCAGGCCAAAGGAGATATATATATATATATATATATATATATCTGTAT